TTCTTCATTTCTTCGAGTGGTTAGTTGAGTTACTGTTGCCTTTGTACCAGACCAATCTGGCCATTCTCCTCTGACCTCTGGCAAGAACAAAGCATTTGCGCCCACAGAACCACTCACTGGATATTTTCTTTTGGACATTCTCTGTAAACCCTAGAAATGGTTGCGCATGAAAATCGCAGTATAGATTAACAGCTTCTGAAATACTCAGACCATCCCGTCTACCATGCCATGTTCAAAGTCACTTAAATCGCCTTTCTTCCTCATTCTGATGCTTGGTTTGAACTGCAGCAGATCGTCTTGACGCTGGCTGCGTCCGAAACTGCCTACTACTTAGTAGGCACTTCATTTGAATTTAAACATACTACTCGGCCGTTAAAAGTATGTTTCATACAGTATGAATGTGAGCAGAATGAATGGAATTCGATTGTACTACATCCGCCATTTTGTCTTGGTCAAGTGACCTACCTGCATCAGTTGCGTTGCTTCACTCCCATTCATGAATTCTCTCGCAGGGCATCATAGGATAATGCAGCGTGCATGGGATGCGCACTCCAGAATCTCGCCGGAAGTATTAAGTCATCTGGGTACTTCTCGCATACTGATTTTGGATTTCTATGATTGGGGACATATACTTGGCTCGCATTCTGACTTTAGCGTACTATATAGTATGGAAGTATGTGGTTTCGGACGCAGTCCCTGTCTACATGCCTAAATGCATTGAGTTGCTGCCATGTGATTGGCTGATCAGAAATTTGCGTTAACAAGCAGTTGGACAGGTGTACCTAATGAAGTGGCTGGCGAGTGTATATCAGCCTGTTGTTGGAAACAAAAACTTAAATATGACCTTTTATAATGCATAATAGGGGCGCTTTCCTATATATTTATGCACATAGTACATTTACGTAATAATTTTTTGAGGCAACCGTTACTTTTTTTAATTAAACTGCAGTAAAAACAACGGGTTTACTCACTTAAGTCAACTAATTGATTTTTATATAACATAAACTGTCAATCAGACAATACAAGACATGTATACCATGTACAGAGTTTGATCATTTTAAAACTTAGAGTCCTTAGCAATATAACGTGGCACACTTGGCTTTATAGTGTTGATAAATCCGCTGTATATGTATATGACTGACCCATTATGAGCAATTATTGATGACCAGCGTCCATTCATAATGCGTTCATTGTGCTCAAAGCTTCATCTGCTTAAAGACACACAGTAACAGATCAATAGTGCTGATTCCAAGGTGAAATCGGATGATGATTATTCAGTCATGACATTTAAGCAAAACATAGTTTAACCAGAATATGTTGGCATTTTATAATCTGTACAAGTAACACAATTAGTTCCTTGCAGTGTCAGATGGCATATAGAGATATGTGTGAGACAAATGCTGACCTTTTACGGCAGAGAATGGAGAGTTTCCTTCATATTTCCTCCATTTAATGGAGCATCTAATTAACTCTGAGAGTCCATATAAAGAGCTGAAGAATCCAGCTCTGTGGAAGGTTTATAGAGCGACATTATGCATTGTTATGATAAAAGGAGCATGTATGTTGAGCTCTGTTGTGCTGACCTTATCAAAAGATGAAATAAAAACAAAAGTGTAGACAGCATGCCTCGAATGTTCTCCAGTTATGTCAAATAATAGTCTGCTGCATATTTTTGCCAAAAAGAGCATGTAATAATATAATTATGTATAAAATATTAATAAATTAAAAGTGATAATGTGCTGATTTTGCAGCCTTGGCCTTTTTTCTGCTTAATAAAAGATGTTAGGCATTTTTATTTATTTATTTAGTTAGTTAGTTAGTTAGTTAGTTAGTTAGTTAGTTAGTTAGTTAGTTAGTTAGTTAGTTAGTTAGTTAGCTAGTTAGTTAGTTAGTTAGTTAGGTTTTACAATATAGCAAACCCCAATACCCAAAAATGACCCCAGACAGGGTTAGGGAAAACATTTAATAATCATTAAAAAAATAAAATTAATAAATAAATAAATACACTTTTAAAAAAGAAAAGATATCTATTCAAACACCAATTCACATTCACCAACTTCTGACTTCCAAAGTTTCCTCAATATTTCCATTTTCCACGACGTTCAAAAACACCTGCCAGACATTGTAAAATTCAGTGCATTTTTTTCCTTATTACATATGTGAGCTTTTCAAGAGCCAAACATGTTATAAGTTTCTCAACCAAAGTCCAATAGAGGGGCGATTAACATTTTTCCAACACAATACAACACATTCCAGCACACAATAGAAAAATGTACCTTGTTGTATCTTATTGCATTTAAAACTAAGATCTGGGATATTAGGGTTGCATTTATTTAATTTTACAGGACTAATATGGGTTCTCATTACTCAATTATATTGTATAGCAGTCTCAATCAGGAATTAATGTTTTTGTTTGTGCAATCGAACATGTTGTATTCCAGTCCTCTATTGGAATATCCATGTTTATGTCTTAATTAAAGCCATATAGTGTTTTGTTTTCAGAATTTTTCCTTATGATTCTCTTTTAATATATATTGTATAACTGTGTAAGTCATCCTTTTATGAAACAATCTTGTTCTGTAAGAGTTAACGACATTTTACTCATTTATTTTATTTTATTTTTTTGCTAAATTATCAATGAATTAAATTTGGATTTGTTATATGGTGTATTTTTTATTGTTTAAATTTAGTAGGCTTACAATTTATTATTGATTGATTATTACTGATTAACAAAATCACTATAAACTATATGATAAAAGTCTTGTCACCTTCTTGACTTTAAGTTGATCATTTGGTATCAGAAGTGGCTTATATGAAAGGCAAAGGCTTCTAGATTACACTTATTTTACCTAAATAAAATATGGTCATGCCTTGACTGTTAATTATTTAATTTTACAGTAAGGTCTGACTTTGCTTAGACAAAAGTCTTGTCACTTAACAGAAATAACGAAGAAAATAAACTCATGGTGCAGTGGAAAAAGAATTAATATTGTGTATGACTCCCAAGAGCTTGGAGGACTGCATCCATACATCTCTGCAATGACTCAAATGTATTAATAAAGTCATCTAAAAATGGCAACAAAAAAAAGCATTCTTACAAAACTCCCAGAGTTCATCAAGATTAATTGGATTCATCTTCAATGTCTCCTTCTTACATTTACATTTACATTTAGTCATTTAGCAGATGCTTTTATCCAAAGCGACTTACAAATGAGGACAAGGAAGCAGTTTACACAACTACAAGAGCAACAATGAATAAGTGCTATAGGCAAGTTTCAGGTCTGTAAAGTCTCAGAAGGAAAGTATTAGTAGTATTAGTATTTTTTATTTTTTATTTTTTTATTTTTTTTGGGTACAGTTGGTGTGATATCCAGAGAGGCAATTGTAGATTAGGAAGTGAAGTGGAGACTAAATAGTTGAGTTTTTAGTCGTTTCTTGAAAATAGCGAGTGACTCTGCTATTCTGATGCAGTTAGGGAGTTCATTCCACCAACTGGGCAGATTGAGCGTGAGCGTTCGCGATAGTGATTTCTTCCCTCTTTGGGATTTCTTCCCTCTTTCTTCATCTTACCCCAGACATACTCAATAATGTTTATGTCTGGTGACTAGGCTGGCCAGTTCAGGAGTATCTTGACCTTCTTTGCTTTCAGGAACTTTGATGTGGAGGCTGAAGTATCAGAAGGAGCTCTATCCTGCTGAAGAATTTGCCCTCTCCTGTGGTTTGTAATGTAATGGACAGCACAAATGTCTTGATACTTCAGGCTGTTGGTGTAGCCATCCACTCTGCACTCTAACCCCAAACCATGACTTCCTTCACCAAACGTGACTGATTTCTGTGAGAATCTTGGGTCCATGCAGGTTCCAATAGGTCCTCAGTATTTGTGTTTATCGGGATGTAGTTCAACAAATGATTTATCTGAAAAATCTACTTTTCCAAATGATCAACTAGAACTAGTGTACATGTGTCTGTATTTAAGTATTTTTATTTTGACTTAAGATTTTGGGGAAAATGTTAAGCATTTTCATTTTTGTAACATTTTTATTTTTATTTATTTTCTAAATCATTATTTAATTAAATTTGGATTTGATATGTGATGAGCTCTCAAGAGTGTATTTGTGCATTTTTCATTTTTATTGTTTAAAATTAGTAAGTTTGAAATTTATTTTATTTAAAAAGATGACTTAAAACTTATTGTAGGTTATCTAGATTTAAGGTGCTTTAATAGGTGTGTGTACCTTGTATTTCTCACGCTGTGGAGGTCAAATGTCCCCACAAGTAAAGCAATACCAGTAAATCTTTGTTCTTGTGTGGACAATTTTTTGATTCCCATTAGGAAAGCAATTTATAAATCACACAGAATTAAGTGTATGTGTGTGCGTATGTGTTTGATATATTTAAATAAACATTGATTTATCTTTACTAATTAATTTCCTCCCGTCTTCCTCACTCATCTTTTTTTTTAATCAGGAAACGAACTTGCAAATTGCATACAGTTTGCTTTTATATTTAAAAAGAGGCATCCATTAAATTAAAGTTGAAGACTTTTTAAACTTTTGTAGACTTTAGGCACTCTTTACTTGTTCCAAATTTAAGTATCTTTATTCAGTTTATTTAGAACGCACACACACACACACACACACACACACACACTCACACACACACACACACACAAGATATTTAGAGAAAAGCCCATTTCAATGTGGTCATGTTATTGGCCCATGAACATTTCCTACTGGTTATCAAACTATTTCATAACAAGAGGCAATTCAATCATAACTTAATGTTAAAACAGCTATCATAACATTATTTATCCTGTTACCATTTAAAACAGGAAATACGTTGGGACCATTGTTTTAGTTTACATCCCCTCAAAATAGTCTTCTTTACAGAAGTCTACAGCTTTCTTCAAAACAACTCAATTGTGTTCAACAGAACAAATAAACACAAAGTTTTCGAACCAGCTGAGTGATAGTCAGTTGTACGTTTATATTTTTAAATTAATTTCTTCATAAAAGTCTAAAAACGGCCACTGAGGACCTAAAGAAATACTTTTTTAACCACAAGGTGGCGCCCCATGATTGGATTACAGCCTTCTCTTTGCTTTGCTGGCAGTATTAACTGAGTGGCCTAAACAGGTCTTACTAAGTTACTAATCAGTCATTTGCTCATTTAATTTTTTAAAAACAACCACATATCTTTCACAGTATTAAAAAAAAGTGGTCAGCTAGCATTCCAGCTATGTGCTATTAGCTAATCACAACCAACGTGCGTTTAACAATCAATATGTTGCAGTAAATGAAAAAACAAAATACAAAACTCTCAGCCAGTCTTATCTTATCTAAATGTGTGTGCGTTTGTTTAATACCAACAGCTGCTTCGCCTGTCTGGTCAGATATTTTTAGGGATGACAAGCAGAGAGGAAACCCGAACACAAGGACAACGCAGCACAAGCTATCAGTACACACAAAAAGACCCTCTCTTGATGAACAGGTAGGACAGGACTAATCTAAATGCACTATAAAATGAGTGATGATGTCTGAAATATTCTAACATTTTGCGTTGTATTTTTACAGTTTGACTTACAGATTGCTTCTTCCTCTTATGAGTTCAGCGTGGATTGTTGTGGTTTGTGTGGCGATGGTGGCCAGACTGGGTTTCTCTCAGATAGATTTGGCTGAGCAGAACAGCAGGGAACCTTGCGCCCGCTGGATGAGGGGTGTTTCTGGCACGCCGGGGTTTGGTGGCATCCCTGGACGAGACGGACGTGATGGACGTGAGGGGGAGAAGGGAGATAATGGAGAGCCAGGTGATTCATTCAAAGCCATTTAGAGACAAGTAGCTTTAAGAAGTATTTAGACCTTTAGACCACACTTTTATTGAAGAGATAGTTTTTACTATTTACTCACCCTCAAGTGGTTCCATACATATGAGTTGAACACAAAACAAGACATTTTTTAAAAATGTTATAAACTTTTAATAATAATTCCTACATTTATATTGCGATTTTTCTGGACACTCAAAGCACTTTGCACATTTTTTTCATCCAACACCAGTGTGCAGCATCCACCTGGATGACTCGATGGCAGCCCTATTGTGCCAGACTGCACACCAGCTGATTGGTGAAGAGGAGACCGAGTGATTAAGCCAGTTATGATATAGGGATAGTTAGGAGGCAATGATGGACAGAGGCCAGTAGGCAAATTTGGCCAGGAAGCCGGGGTTAAATTCCTACTTTTCGAAGGACATTTTTAACGAACACAGAGAGTCAGGAGAAAGACAACACTTACTGATGCCTCATTCAGACTAGCAGTGACTTTGTATCTGCCTGTCGCTCTGGGTGGCAACTTGCTTCAAACGCATGTCTGTGTAGGTAACAACTGGCCTCTAAGCAAGCTAAGAGAGCATCATATGAGCTCTGCAGGTGCTCCTATTGGCTGTTGCTCAAGAAAGTCGCTTTTAATTTGCATAAAGTAAAATGATTCTCAATTCTAGCGTCGCTCGACACTTGTTCGTGTGGGTTTCCTTGGGTGCTCCAGTTTCCCTCACAGTCCAAAGACATGCGCTATAGGTAAATTGAATAAACTAAATTGGACAAAGTGTATGTGTGAATATGAGAGTGAATGGGTGTTTCCCAGTACTGGCCTGCAGCTGGAAGGGCATCCACTGTGTAAAATGTGCTGGGTAAATTGGCGGTTCATTCCACTGATAAATAAATGGACTAAGCTGAAGGTAAATTAATGTACTATCAGTGATTCTAGTTAGTTAAAAATTTGTTCAAATATCTTTGTCAAGGCCCCAAAGGACCAACCGGCGAGCCAGGTAAACCAGGAGATGAAGGATTTCCAGGCAAAAGAGGATTTCCTGGAAACCCAGGCCTGAAAGGAGAAAGTGGAGAGGCTTCCTTCCCCTACCACTCAGCTTTTAGCATGGGACTCACAGATAAAGTCAGCCCTGCCAGTGGATCTCCCATCCGCTTCACCAAAACCTTCTACAATGAACAACATCACTACGATGACATCTCCGGAAAGTTTCGCTGCGCCATTCCTGGGATCTACTACTTCACATATCACCTCACCATCAATGGCAAGGAGACCAAGGTAGCAATATTTCGAAATGGCCGAACTGTGGCCTTCACTCTTGACCAGTTCCACAGCGGAAATCTGGATCAGGCCTCAGGAGGGGTGATTTTGAATCTGTCTTCTGGAGATGAGGTTTGGCTTCAGTTGTATGATGACATATTTGATGAAGGGATTTATGTCGATTATAACAACGACTCCACCTTTTCTGGCTTCCTTTTGACGCCTAAAGTTTTAAGCAACTCATTTGACAACCGCAAACGCTAAAATGTCTTTATCACTTAAGCTCACTGTACTGATTATTGCTGTGTGTTTTAAGATCTAGAGGCCAGATATGTTCACAGAGTGTCTGACTACACATCAGGCCAATTGGCTTCCTCTCTGTAGGCTACTTTTAAGATATTTTAATCATTGTTCAAGGTCAGTTCATACCATCATATGTGCTGAGACATGACCTTGTAATTATATTTATGTTATAAATTAGATCATGTTTGGAGTGCAGCAGCAATAGGCGAAAGATTTTAATGAAGCAAAATATCATCACAGCTGTTAGGAAGTATGATTCATTATTGTTTATTAAAAATATTCTCAGGCTAATTGAGACATCTGTGTCACAACTTGGAATATTCTATAATTTGAAGAAACTATTCATTGTGAAGAGTTTTCACGTCTCTCTAAACTCCAGAGACAGTTAACAGGAATCCTGCAAATTAAATGTCACGTAACTGACACAAAGTTTGAGTTGTTAAAGTTTGTGAAAGCAGTATATGACATGTACTGATGGGGTGCTTGTTATTAAATATTTGTATGCTAATTTTCTGCAGAATATTTAATCACTGACTGTTTTAGTGAGTTGAAAAGTGAGATAATTAAGTTTATTGTATTGCAGTTTTTTTCTTAATGACAATGGAAGCATAATAAATTACCTGTCACTAATAGGCTTAGCAAAAAAATTGTAACTTCTAATTTTTTTCATGTAATAAATTTTAAGCTTTTTGTTGAACTAGTTTGCTAGCAGTAAAAATATATTAGAAAATAAAAGACGAGCGAGATCTTTAAAGCTTTTATTTGAAACATTCAAAGAAAAACATCTTACAAATATGCAAACAAATCACAAAGCATTAAAAAGCATTGTTGCAAGACCAGAAGATCATTAAATATTCATTTGTAGGGTGAATCTTGCCTAAAAGGAGCAGGGGATCGTGATTAGAGTACATTAGTTTTTTGCACATCATTTGTTTGGTTTATTTATCCCCCAAAATGAGCTCAAAAGACTGCTTCTATGGTTGAATATGGAGCAAAAAATCTCCAAGTCAATCTCTTAGAGAAGCTGGAACACACAATCAGGTTACATGGGCTAAACAAATCAGCAAGAAGATATAAGATCCAAAAAAAAAGTATAAATCTATACAAGTGCTGTCAGACTGTGAAATTTCAGCAGCTCTCGAAAATATTGTGAGTGAACCAAGTGAAATCCAGTTAAATGATGTGGGCTTTTTTACGTGAAAGTGTGTTTCAATATTTAAAATGTTCTGTCCTAGTTTAGTATTTCTGCTGTTTATTTCTTTCTGTAGTCTCCATTGTAGGCAAGGTGGTCATCCTGGCCAGGATACCGACCACCATATCCTCTCAGGACATCCTGAAAACTGGCTGCTCCTGGTTCTTGGGGGCCGTAGCCGGCATAGGGATCCTCTTGTCCACTCATGTAAGCGTCATATTGCTGCTGGTCATAGCCAGGGGTTTCAGGGTAGGACTCCTCGCGATGCTGAGGGATCTCCTCATGGTGGGATGGCTCCTGAGCTGGATGGGCCACATCCTCTTGAGGGGAAATACTGACGGGTTCGGCGGGCTCAGGTTCATAGCGGCGCAGGCGGCAGTTTCTGTCGTACTCTGGGTCACAGTCGGGATCAGGCTCGATCACCCCAGTTCTGGATCCATCTGCGTTCAGATGTGGCTCATAAGCTTCGGCTGGGTAGGATGGCTGTCTGTGCACAGCAGGGCGGCGCTCATTTTGGGAACTTAGTGGGATGCACTCTTTATCATACCCGACGAAACATTCATAGCCTTCTTTGGTTTTCCCACGTGGTCCCAAAGGGTGCTCTGGCTCCTCTGGCTGGTGGTACCTTGGAGGTTGCAGTTGTGCAGGCATGTGTCTCCGCAGGTCAGCCCCAGCAGATGCATCCCTGAACATGGCATAAGGATCATGTTGAGGGATCTGAGGTGCCCGCATGGCGCCAGCTTCAGAGTTGAGCTTATCCTTCAGATTTTCATGGGCCAAACTGCCAATTCTTGTGGCGGTCAGAGGGTTGCAGTTATCTTCGTAGAGAGGGTTGCAGGGTGGAGATTCAGGGTTCTGCGAGGATGCCAGAGCAGCTGCATAAGCACAGTATGGGTCAACTCGGGGGTCACAGTTGGGATAACGCAGATAAAGACCAGAGGGGGCTTTCTGGACCAAATGTGGGACACATTGAGGATCGGTCTTAGGGTCACAGCCGAGATGGGCATAGGATGGGGCAAGAGCAGCAGCGGATCTGTATCCGTAAGCAGCACGGAGGTGGTACTGGAGACACTCTACATCCTCTGCATCACAGATGCGCAGCAGCTCAGCCCGCTGTTCAGCGGACAGGAACGGTTGCACCAATGGAGAGTAGTAGTATTGACCAGAACGTGGGTCCTTGACCACTGGCGTGTGAAGGTAGGCCGGGGCTTTAACTGGAGCAGGAGCAGGTGCAGGAGATTTGACAGGAGCTGGAGCCAAGTATGGGTAATATGAGTATCCCTTTGAATACAAGCAGTATGGGTCTCTGTAAGGGTCACAAGACTTGACTGGGGCAGGCACTGGCGCCTCAGCTTTGGGCTTGGGTCTGTTGGTGTATGAGGACACACAGTTTGGGTCATCAGACTCAGCACAGGACTTGTAGATGTCACCAAGGTGCTGCAGGTACATCTTGTAGGAGCGACGTGACTCGGCCCGATTCTTGTTCTGCAGGTATGACAGATAGACACGATCCAGCTCTGCAACCTAAAGAGTGATAATAGAAGCGATACCTTGATTCAATATTTGGATTATAAAACTGACAAAACATGACTGTTAATATACTTGACTCACTCCGTCTTTGTTCTCATTATCAGTGAAGTATTTGTACCAATTCCAGAAGTCAGAGTGCTGCTTGTACCAACTGATGTTTCTCCTGTTGCGGATCAGTTTCTTTGGGGCTTCCTCAAGGCCTGTCTTGTCATCACTTCCATCTGGCAGAACCATCAGGTGTCATTTCATTCACATATAAATTATACAAGATATATATGGATTGGGACTCACTGACAAGACAGGGAAACAAGCCATACTTACCGTCTCCTTTTAAACGCTGGGTCACGGGGCCAGCCAGCAGAAATGCTTTTATGGAAGAAGAGTAGAGAGACAACAAAAATTAGGGGGTGCAGGTCTCAACCAGATGTTGCGTTCGTCAAAAGCAAAGTAGAAAAATGCTTACAGACGGTAAAGACCCAATAAGCTGATGGCAGCAGGATGCAGTTTTACAAGTTTTTTTGGGGGGAGGTGGTAATATACAGTGTATTGTAGGAAATTAATCTTCAAACAGCACACATCAGCACTTTGATGCCTGGCAGCAGGGGGCTGCAATAACCAAACCTGTCCATAAGCAAAACCTATAAAATCTACAAAGGACCGGAGCCTCTGTACCTACAGGTGAACCTAATTATCCAAGCGTCAGGAAAGTGAATGAACTGACACTTTACCGTTTAATCTCTCTGAAAGTGACATTCATCTTGGCTGGAATGGGGACGTTTGTGTTATATTGACTTAGCGGAAGATCTCTGTGTCTTAAATGAGGGAGGTAAAGGAAATGTTGCTCTTTCAGGGTATCAGCAAGTTGTTGTTTTTTTTTATGAGCTTGTAAACTTCTGCCACATCTGGAAACTTTGTGCACTTGAGTTTTGCTGACAACAAGGAATCATTTTTACTAGTTGAAGAGCAGAAACGAAGAGCTGGTTCTCAGAAACCTGACACCAGCTCATATGGTGTAGGATATTTAGAGGGATTTCAGTCAAAAAATGCTAAATCAGATCTGGCATTTTAGCATAGAACTACTGAAAAAATAAACACTTGAGGTCATATTTTGAAAATCTCACCTGGTAATATTAATGTTGCAAGCAGTAACACATGGAAGATGGAAGATCCTCTCAAATGAGCCATGATTCCTTTGGATGAAATTAATTACAGCTTGTTTATTTTCTTTCATATCTGTACTTTGACATGATAAACTTCTATCAAGATTATAATGAGTAAAGTTTCCTATTGTTTATTGGTAGTTTATCATGTAAATTTCAGTGAGTGACTATATCAGGTTGGAGTAAATTAAACTGCAAATACGAATATTAAAAGACAATTCAACAGGATTTTGTTTTTTGTCTATTTTCCAGCAAAATTGTCTCTATATAAAGAAAAAAAACACCCAAAAGACAAATTATGTACATTGAACTAAAATGTATCACAATAATGTACATTTTTAAGCTCTTTACATTGTTTTAATTCCTGTTAATGTCACTATCAGCTTTCAAAGATAGAAACAACATTAAATACTTTCTTAAATAAAGATTCAAGGGTTTTATTTTATTTTTCAAACAGATCAAATCAGTGTTTAAGAACTGCAAGCATATTAATAATTGTTGCTGTATATTTTTACATTTTGGGTTAACCATAAACATAAGTGAACATACAATTGTGTATCTTACCTGTGTTAGGATGTGGTGGTGTGAACCTCTAAAGAGAGGCAGTCCGACTGGGCCTCGAAGTTCAGCTTTACAGCTGAGCGACTGACTGGTAGACAAAGGTGAGCCAAACCCCTCGTGCACTACAGTCTCAACACACCCGACTGCACCACTGTTGAGAACCTGGCCACAATTTAAACCCCAACCTTGATAATTAAAAACAAAAAAGGTGCATCCCATAGGGCCCGGAGTCATCCAATCAGATGCTGTCGTACAACATAAAGAGCAACTGTTTTACATTTAGAAGCTAAAGAAAATGCTGAAGGAGAAAAATCAGGTCAGAATACTTAGGATTAGTTCGAAAACAAACAATGATTGTAAGGAACTAACATTAAATTTAATAATAACCTGGATTGATTTAAATATTTGGTGCAGAATCCATGTTCCGTATGTAAAATTAAGAAAAATTCATTCATTCATTCATTTTCTTTTCGCCTTAGTCCCTTTATTAATCAGGGGTCACCACAGCGGAATGAACCACCAACTTATCCAGCATATGTTTTACGCAGCGGATGCCCTTCCAGCTGCAACCCAATACTGGAAAAGTTTTACAAACATTAACAAGATAAAAACATTGAATAAAAATTAAATAAGTAAAAACATATACTTTATACTATTAATTTTTGATTTGTTGAT